GAAATAGTAAAAAAAAAATTGTAATGGTAAATTAAGTAATTTCTTTATATTTATGAAGTTCTGAATTTCATAAATATGAAATAATCAGGGCTCGAGTCCTGCAGGAACGCATGGGAACGGCGTTCCTGCACTTTTTCCAAAGCAGGAACGCCGTTCCCGTTACCTGTCCTGCAGGACCGGCCCTGCAACCTGCACAGAGGGGCCGTCACACGCTGTGTTCCCTCTCCAGCTATAACTCTCGCGAGACCCGCGGCTGTTACCATGGCAACGCTCCGCACAGGCGAGTCTCGCGAGACTTAGAGCTGGAGCGGGAACACTGCGTGTGATGGCTCCTGTGTGCAGCGGCTGGCTCCCTCCACCGGACCACCAGGCGATCTCCCCCCTCCCTGACAAGGTAAGAAGCAGGGAGGGGGGAATAAAATAAAAAAAAATATAGACACATAAAGTTAAAAAAAATGCTCCCCCCCCCCACACACATCATCCAGCACTCACACACCCATCATCCAGCACACACACACACACCCATCATCCAGCACACACACACCCATCATCCAGCACACACACACCCATCATCCATCACTCACACACCCATCATCCAGCACACACACATCATCCATCACTCACACACCCATCATCCAGCACTCACACAAACACCCATCATCCAGCACTCACACACCCATCATCCAGCACACACACACACATCATCCAGCACACACACACACACCCATCATCCAGCACACACACACATCATCCAGCACACACACACACATCATCCAGCACTCACACACCCATCATCCAGCACACACACACCCACCATCCAGCACTCACACACACACCCATCATCCAGCACTCACACACCCATCATCCAGCACTCACACACCCATCATCCAACACTCACACACACATCATCCAGCACTCACACACATCATCCAGCACTCACACAAACACCCATCATCCAGCACTCACACACACATCATCCAGCACTCACACACACATCATCCAGCACTCACACACATCATCCAGCACACACACATCATCCCACACACACACACACATCATCCAGCACACACACCCACCATCCCGCACACACACAAACACCCATCAACCAGCACACACACCCATCATCCAGCACTCACACACATCATCCAGCACTCACACACATCATCCAGCACTCACTCACACACATACACACACACACACACCCATCATCCAGCACACACACCCATCATCCAGTACTCACACACACATCATCCAGTACTCACACATCCATCATCCAGCACTCACACACCCATCATCCAGCACTCACACACACACCATCCAGCACTCACACACACAGACACACACACCATCCAGCACACACCCATCATCCAGCACTCACACACACACACATCATCCAGCACTCACACACATCATCCTGCACTCACACATACGTCATCCAGCGCACTCACACACATCATCCAGCGCACATGCATTCATTATACACACTCTTCACTCACTACAAACACTCTACATTCACTATACACTCACTACAAACACACTACATTCACTATACACCCTCTGCATTCACTATACACCCTCTGCCTTCACTATACACACTCTGCATTCATTATACACATTCTGCACTCACTACACACTACATTCACTATACACACTCTGCATTCACTACAAACACACTACATACACTGCATTCACTGTACACACTCTGCACTCACTACAACACACTAAATTCATTATACACAATTTGCACTTACTACAAACACACTACATTCATTATACACACTCTGCACTCACTACAAAAACACTACAATCACTATACACACTGCACTCACTACAAACACACTACATTTATTATACACACTGCACTCACTACAAATACACTACATTTATTATACACACTCTGCACTCACTAAAAACACACTGCATTCATTATACACACTCTGCACTCACTAAAAACACACTGCATTCATTATACACACTCTGCACTCACTACAAATACACTACAATTATTATTCACACTGCATTCGCTACAAACACACTACATTTATTATACACGCACTGCACTATATGCATAGGAGTGTAATTTTTTTTTATTTTATTTTTTTAAGGGGGGGGGGAGGCGGGTATCTTGGGTGAGTTCCCACACTTTTTTCCCCAGGACTTGACCCCTGGAAATAATACCACAAATAAAATAATAAAAGGTTTACTGGTCAATCACATATATTAGTGAATATCTTGAATGAACAGACAAGAGGCAAAGTTTTGATAAAAGTATAAACAAAACTTTACTGGGAATACAATTATCAAGCACAAAAAAAATACTTTAAAAACACACTCTGCTATAAACAATACAATCAGGTAAGAAATCTACTTGGTTCTATTCATGGAGATTCAGCAGCTTACACAGGATAATTGAATCAGCATAACACAGAACAAGGAGGTGAGTTCCTTGCCACATGTTAAACGTCTCATTAAATATGCAGCAGCCATCTTCTTGCTCTTAATGTCACGTAGCTCACTACACCCCCTATAGGTATCATAAGTTATTGCACATGAATGTATGTGACGATGTGCCCTTCGCCACTTGGTCCTGGAGAGGCCTACTTGCCAGCCTCCTCCCCTGTGACTATGACTCTTTCATGTATCTGGCTTTAAAGCCCCTAGTGTACCTTCAGACAGACTATTTATGTAGGCTGCTTTATTTATCTTATGTTTTAGTCACCCTGTACCCATTATAGGTGCAGGGTGTGTGTAATGTAATTGTTTATAGTGTGTGTGTGTGTACTGTGTAATGTATTACCTGCTCTCTTGTATTGCTGAGGTTTGCTACCAACTAGGTGGGTTTGGCTATGGAGCTTGTCTAGTGCCCTCTGTTGGTAGCAACAGCAATATGCACTACCTGAATTGCAAGACTGGTTCATTTGCATATTCGGGTAGATTTGCATATTGCTAATTCTGCAGGCAGGTGAGACATTTACTGTTAAATATTGTCTCCCCCCACCCCTTTAAGAATGTGCCATTGTGTTGTGATAAGTCACTGTGTGTTGTTTGATATGTTTTGACTGTTTGTGATTTTATTGAGGTTTCACAACAATGTTATTGTGGTGACCCTATTGGCTGGTCCCAAGGGAAATAAAGGTTTTGATAGTTCTTCTTGATCCCTCTAAACGTAGCCTTGTCTCGTTATTGGAGGGAGCTGTTATAATCACACTGGGGATTGCTATGCTCTGCATGCTCCCCTGAGCTTGAGTCACTTAGCTCTTTTAAGAGCTTGTTTCTGACACGCTCTCCTTGGAGGAGGGGTCTTCACCACACAGTCCTGGAGGAAGGAAGACGGCGAGACTCCAGTCAAGATACGGCGGTTGCGTAGTCTGCGGTGGTTGTGGTGTCTGCTGCAGTGCTTGGGAGTCCTCAGGAAGCACTAGGAGCATCCATCAACGGAGGGTACTCAGTCGGAGTACAAGGAGCTCCGTTACAAATGGGAACACAATAATAGAACATTTATCATTGCCCATAATCAATACAATGTTGTACAGGACAAAAATAAAAATGACAAAAAGTCGATTCAGTAGACCAGTCTGTACCCCGCAGAATGTCTTCCAATCTGCAACCCACCATTGATGCCTTAGAAGCCATAACACCTTAACAGAATGAGAAGAGAAAACCGAAGTATCAACTCCTGCCAACGATAACAACCATTTGATCCAATGTGCCATAGTAGGTGTGGACACCAGAAAGTGAGGTACAAGAAACAAAATGAACAGTAAATCGTCTAGGGAAGAGCATAACAATGTTGTAAGTCATTCATCTTCTTTCAGACATAGTACCGGACATAGATTAGGTCTATCCGGAAACACTGGGTAAAAGACATTCTTTGTCATAGATTCTAAAGCTCTGACATCCAACATATGTTTACACAATAGCAAACAAAACAGCATGAGAAGTTTTGCAGATAACTGTTTGAGCGAAATCTCATGGTTTGGAGCCCAAAAATTCAAAAAGTCCAAGACCAAGTCAACATCCCAAAACATGTAATACCATGGTTTTGGGGGTTGAGAAAAATGGATTCCATTGAGAAGTCGACAAATAAAGGGATGTCTTAATAAAGGGACACTGTCAAAGCCAGTATGATCAGCTGAGATAGCCAATCTATAGAGATTAATGGCACGAAAAGCTTTGCCATTCTCAAAAAGAATGGTAAGGAAGCCTAAAATAACATTCAGAGGAGCTGATATGGGATCGACTGATCTTCCCATGCACCAATCAGACCACATTCTCCAAGCTCAATTATAAGTGGGTCTAGTTTTCGATGCTGCAAGCATCTGCCAGGAGGTGGAGAATCATTTGCAGAACATCTTTGATAGACCAGGACCCCCGGAAATGAGCCATGCTACAAGATGAAGAAGGCTGTGATCGATCAGGCCATGACTGTTCTCATTTGGATTGGTCAGAAGGAAAGGCATGTCCTGTATCAGATGAGGACAATTTATTGACATTTCCTACAGCTGTGAGTACCAAAGTACAGAACGGGGTTATCAGAGCCATAGTCCCTTTGCAACATCCACCAATCCCATGAGCTCCGAAGGCAGCAAGAATTCCAGTCTGCTGGGGAATTTTCCGGACCCGGAATGTGTTCCGCTACCAAGGATATGTTGTGGTGGAGGAAATAATGGCCGAAATCTTGAGCCATGACCACCAAAATCTTGGATTTTGTTCCACTCAGGTAGTTGATATAATGAACAGGTGACATATTATCTGTCT